CGGTTGCGGCAGGATGCCGGCGGGCATGGCCGGTGCGGCGTCGAGCACCACATGGCTCAGGGACTTGCACAACGCCGTCATCTCCTCCCGCATCTTCTCGATCGCACCCTCCTGCTTGCGTAGGGTGCCGATCTCGGATCGGAGCTCCTCCACGGATGCGTCCACAATAGGCTTCCAATCGTCGAACACCCTGACGGCATCCTACACGCGCCCGAATCGGTCGGAGATGGAGCGGTCCATGGCGGTGATCTGGCTGCCCAGTGACGTCTCCACGGCGCCGACACGACTCTCGACACTGTTCACAGCGGTCTTCACGGACTTGATCTCATCGAGCAGGAGCTGGAAGTTGGGATCCATGGCGCCCAATTGCTTGCGGAAGCTAGTGAAATGCTCGTGATCGATTTGATGTGGCTCCAGGGTTACTCATCGCGTCATGACCGTTGACCACACCAACCTCGGCGCGGACCTACGTGACCTCATGAACAACACCGCAAGGGCGAAGAACGGAGATCTACTTGCCGTCGGGGATTACGGTACCAGATCAAGACGGAAGGAACGAGGAGAATTGCGGGTGGGTGGAGAGGGTAGGCTGAGGAATTCATAGGCTCTGGATACCAATTTTGTTAACACCAGATTAGGAAGGAATAGAGGAATTGGAATCTAGGCAGGGAAGCACAGCAAAGGGGCTGGAATAGACGATGAGTTCTTAGTAGTAGATGGTTTGTTCATTACAATAGATGATAACCCCTTCCACGAGAAGATACTAGACTATATAGTAAGACGCACACACACGCATCTTCAGAACTGGTTCACTTGGTCACCCAGGTCGGCCCGTAGTAGCGTGGGTTCACCGATCTGGGCCTTTGCGGACGGCCTGATTGTAGCCCATCCGAGCCGAGCTCATCTGTTGCCGGACGGCCGTCAGGTAACGAAGCCGAGGAGCCGGACGCTGGATCTGGGTCAGCTGGTGGAGTGCTGACACGTAGTTGTGATTCATATGTTTCCATTCTTTTTTTCAGGGTCATATTTGGCATGCTAATCGCTCTTCCCATCGCCTTGGTCTACTATATCATTCTCGGACTACTGTGAATGGTGTGATGGTGTCCAAGCAACAACGACCGTTCCAAAGCCAGCTGACATGTTGCGAATCTAGATTGGCGGCCGTTCGCCCGGGCCGAACGCGCCTCTGCGCGCGGCTGTTCCCAACAGAGCCCACCTCTCTCTCTCTCTCTCTCTCTCTCTCTTCCCCTCCCGGCGCTGTGTCTAGTTGGAGTGAGTCGCTCGAGTACTTGCAGTTTTCACCCTTTTTTTTCTTCTTCCTTTTTCTTTTAATTTTTGTATATTAACACATTTTTTTCTTCTATATGCTACGAACATATTTTTTAGATTTAGAAATTTTCCCGGAACAAATGATGTAAAAAAATATAGTTAGACCAAAAAAACTTATGTGTATAAGTTAGTTATTCGTAAAATTATTACACAAAAAATATGCCAGAAAAATTGTGTTGACAGATTGTTATGGTAGGTTTGTCTGCCAACAGTTATGAATAAGAATTAGGTTATAAAGGTAATATAGAAAAGTTGCCATACTAAGTTATCCATAAAATTACGTAAAAAACTATAAAAAATTATGATAAAAAATATGGTGATAAGTTTTGTTCCATAATGTTTACGCAAAAGTTACGAGTATAATTTTACAACTTTCAAAGAAATTATGGTGATAAATTTGGTTCCACCAAATGTTATATAACTTCACTGTTTTAAATCGTAATATGTTATGGCTTTTTAAATACATAGTTTTTGTAATGTATCTAAATATAATATTTATTTAGGTACATAGTACGAGCAATATATTTAGAAAAACCAAAATATTTTACAATCTGAAATGCAGGAAGTACAAAATTTGTTACGGTAACTTCGCCACTTTCTATAAAAAGAAAAGTTACGGAAACACCTTTTTAAGAAAAAAAATTTGTGGGTTGTAATAACCATGCTTGCCGTTAGTTTGATCTATGGATCACACAACTGATCGAACAACCGCCCTTGGAACCTCATGGCCAAGATCAATGAGTTCACTAGAAGAGCCAAGCGAATAGGTTCGTGGCAAATGACGCTGCAACGAAGTTTGGATTTGCTGTGGCAGGAAGCCTGTCCACACACGTGGTCTCTATATTTTTTTGGTGCAGTACCCTCACAATGCATATCTGAAAGCTATTTTGACGTGTAATTTGTTTTAAAAGTTTTTCCACATGTGTTCACAATCTCGCAGCACACTAGACATGTTTTGTAACCACATTAATTAAACACTTTCTCAAATTCCCATACTTGACTAATTAATTATGTCAGCTACTGGTACTGTGGTACACAATCATATCGTGGCACACCGAAAATGTTATTTTCATCCGTACTGTTCCTAGCTGAATACTCAGTCCGACCAAAAAAGATGCAATTCTAGCTCTATCATTAGTCAGACTAAGATTATAGGAAAGTATTAATATTTACAACAGGACAACGAGGTGTCTGTGGTGACTTCGTGAATCTCAAGATTTACCGGCTCAATCGTTTGGAGGTGCTCATAGGTGTAGTGTTTGCGTACGTGTATTCATAGGGGTGAGTGTACGTGCATGTTGTAGGCGTCTACCTTGTACTGTGTAATTCTAAAAAAATAAATGTACGTACACCATGCTATATATTTTATAATAAATCTAATGGCACTTATTTAGTATTGTAAATCACATATATTTTTTGTCAAACTCAAAATGGGATTGACCAAGATTTTAGAAGAAGTATAAATATTTTTCTTTAATTAGGAAAATATCCTCAATTATGGCCCTTGTCGGCATGGACATGGTCTTTTTTTGTGGTAATTCTTGAAAAAGGGCGTCCGTCCGCTCGGACGTTTCCATGGATGGGCCGTGACTTCACCCCAAATGTCCCCCGTATCCATTCGTCACTGCAGTCTAAAAAAAATCACCGAAGCAAAACGCACGCTCCACCCACGGAGCTCGGGGCGGCGATCGACTTACTAGAGCCGCCCACACTCATCCCGTGCTTGCCGCGGCTGCCCACGCTCATCTCAGCCAGGGCGGAGGCTGCCCAGCTCGCCGGCTCGCCGCAGCCATGGTGGAGCTCGCTCGCATGCAGCTCACGGTAGCCCTGGCGGAACCCGCCCACACACATCTCACACTCCACCTACCTAGCAAGCGCCGAGAGTGGTGGGGCGGACTCGCCCAGAAACTCGAATGTGTGCATCTATTATTGACGGCCAAGATGGAACTTCGCCCATGTTTATCTTTTTTCAAGCGCTCCACCTGCCGAGTGTGGAGACTCCGCCATGCCTTCACCCACCAAAGTGGCGAGGTCCGCACCACCAACAAGCTCTACACCAGCGAACTCCACACGACGACGAGTCTCCATTCTCCCAAGCAACAAGGAGATGTTGCGCTGAAACAACATGTTGCAAGCTTATATTTCAAGTGTTTTAAATGTTTTAAAGGTATGTTGCAAGTGTTTCATATGGATATTGAAAAAGTAGATCGGGATGTTGTACATGTTGCAATGGTTGTACACGTATGTTATAAGCGTCCGTTCCAAATTTTCCAGCTGTTTTTTCATGTGTGTTGCGAGTGTGTTTATTTGGATGTTGCATATGTTTTACACATATGTTGCAAGTGTTTTATATGGATGTTGCATATGCTTTGCAATGGATTTTCAAGTGTTTTCATATATTTTTTGCAAGTGTTTCAGGCTTGTGTTTCAAGTGTTTCATCCATCTTCAGACACATGTTACAAATGTTTCATCTGGATATTTCAAAAGTAGATTAGACTTTGCATCTTCCTTCTCGCTTTCTGCTGCCTCGCCTTCGATGTCTCCTCCTCCTTTTGGCGTCGATTGGGCATCCACCACCCCCTCCCCCTCTTTCTCGATGCCAGTGACGTTTGGGACGGTGCGGCCCCGCGTGAGTGCGCGAAACGGCACGAGAAACGGCTGCAGGCACCGATGTCTGGACGTGCAGGCACTAGAAAGCCCGTTTTTTTTTAAGTGTTGAATTGCACGTCGGAGGAGTTTACATCAGAGCTGAGCAATTGGCATGTTGTCTGGCGGCGGCTGTAGGAGGCGGGCCAGCTACGGCTGTGGCACCCTTCCAACACAGAGTCATTTCGGTGTTTCCAGTGTTCCCAGCAGCTTGGCGTGTTGCAGCCGTCGCCGTGTTAGGGGTAGAATCACTACAGTCTTGGCAGCTCCCAGAGCAAAGCCGAAACATACCGTCACTCCCAGTTCGCAGCAACGGTATGCTTCTTGAATAGGTCTGGATCTGTTCTTGGACGAGCAGCCATGCGAAGAACTTGGGCGGGCACGTGCTGGCGCTTAACTCCCCAAGGCAAATTCGAGTCCGGCATTGTTTGCTCGCGCCGAGAGCTGCCAAGCCTAGTAGTAGCCTGCACAACTTGGATGTTGCGATGAGCTTGCCATCGATGCCGATCCAGTAGCCTTGCTCGTCTGTCGTCTTCTTCCACCAGGCGCACGATGACAATGGCTGACCGCCGCACCACCATTTCGTCTTCTTTCGGGTAGTCTAGGCCTGCGCCCTGCGGTGACCTCGTCGCAAGTCGCAACCGACACGGTGCGCTTTTTTTAGCACGCAGATTCTTTCCGTTGCCGAGAATGATCATGGTGCTGCTTGCTTGATGTTCACCCAAAAACCAATGGCCCCCATCCCAAGTGTGAAACTGCAGAGACAATCATTTTACAACCATCCGTCCGTCTCTAGGATCACGCCTTTCAAAAAGATGAGTACACATGCAAGAACAAGAGAACACCTGCCCTACAGCGCGATTTATTGACAAAACCAATGCAAGAGGCTCAAAACAAACCATATGTGTGCGCTTATTGTTCTTCACCACCAACACAAATAGCTAAATACAGGCATCCTTTGCATGACCACACGCATTGCTAATGCTCCGTCGATCACAGTTTTACGCAAAATTCTCTTTCAAGTTCAGGCCTTGTACACGGCGCAGGCCTTCTTGGAGAACCTGACAGGCTTGGTCTTCTTGGCGTCGACGACGACGGGGCACGTCACGTGCACCTTGTGCGTCACCCGCACGAGCTTGCCGATCACGTAGCCCCGGGAGGTCAGGTCGAAGTCCAGCGTCAGGGGCACCCTCCCGCCCGTGCTCGTCGACAGCATCAGACTGCCCCCGGCGCCGTACAGGGGCACCTTCTCGCCGTGGATAACTGCCGTCACCATCCGGTGGCTCTTCCTTGGTTGGTAGTACCTGCGAACCTGCGTGATCAATCACAGGTCGCGGTGTCAGATTCAATGGCTATCATGGAAGTTAGCCGCAGTTCTGATTTTTGACTCACAATTAGAAGAGGGACGAAAATTAATGCAGACAGATGACGAGAAATGAAGGAAGGATTTAGGCAACAATGCATGCTGATTTGCTGGACCATTTGTACTGTCTTGTTCTGAAACATCCCTAGTGTTTACTGTCTTAATCTGAATTTTCTGTCCCCACATTCACTAATTCCCCTGTGACCATGCATTTTGCACGATTGACACGACAAAATAACTATGCATTGTTAGTCAGATCTTTGATGCGATGGTTGGGACAAATGTGGAATTATGGTTACAAACCTGAAGCACATGAGAAATGTTTCACTAACGCAGTTTCTCTTAAATGGTGAAGTGAAATAGAGACGTAAAAGGAGGAGATTCAGTTACTCATGCAGTTTACTTTCAGCAAGAAATAGCACAGTTCATCAAACAATGTACGGACAACACTTAAAGGCGGTTATAAATAGCCGGACGGAGGATGGACATACCTGACCGACTGCTATTGAGATCTGTGAATAGATCAGATGGATGGGGCCAGAAGTGACATGAATTCCAAACATTGTGGCAGGGTTGTACACAGCTATGTGCAGAGAACAGTTTGTTGTGACCAATTTGGTTGGAACACCGCTGTGGTCTGTGCCTTCACCAGCATAGAAGTCGTCCATCACCAAGCTCTGCACAAAACAGAAGTGGAAGAAGTTCGTGGTTTAGGACAGATTTGTGGCAAACACCATGCTCAGATCTACGGAAAGGAAGTTTTGCCATGACAAATGGTGCAAATCATAAATGCATATTGATTATTTGAAGCGATTTGTTTTCTTGTGAAGTAAAATATGGTTAGGAAATATAGCCCCAAAAGTCAGCATGCTAAATGCAGTGCCAGCCAGCAACATCCCCATCAGATTTAATTATTAATGTGCAATGAGAATAATCTAGTACTACTTGGTATTTTTGACTTTTCTTCAGTCTTCAGTGCAGTCCATTGTTTAAGACCTGAGGTATCAGATTCTCATTTCTGATTCTACAGAAATAAAACAAATATTGGTTTCTTTTTCAGAGGAACTGGAAAATGTTAGTGCAAATTAACCAGTTTGTCATTGAGTAGAAACACATCAATTGAACTTCTATAAATTCGAAGTCCTGAACCAATCTATACTCTAACCAGAGCTTACTGGCTACCGCAAAATTAGGCCCCCAATTCACCATTTACCTGTAACCACATGCAACCAATATCTGAGCAACAAAACCAAAATCACCCAGCTTGCACTTGTGAACTCCCAATCTGCATTTCTGTCTTATTCCTCATTAATTTCCAACATATGACTGTCTAACTGAACCACCAATCAATTGGATGATGTAACCCATCTCGCCTACCGCTGGAACCGTGCGACATGAGTCAATTTTAGTAACTAGTGGTCAATTACTCGATTTAGGGATTGGATATAGGGAACAAACAAAGAGGAACAAGTATCCCATATACTGAAGAAGAAGTGAATTGAGCTTGCTCAGCCTCCGATGCTCCAAGGACGGATGGGATGGATGTGTAATTGACTAATTGTGTATACCTTAACGACGACCTCGGGCTCGTACGGCCGGGCGGCGCCCCAGATGATGAGGCAGAAGGTGGTGAAGAGGAGGACGAAGGTGAGGAACCCGAGTATGATCTGGCATCGGCGGGAGAGCCCGCTGTCCCCGGCGAGGTCCTCGTACGGCCCTTCCTCCTCGATGACGTTGCACTCGGGCCACCCCTTGTCGTTGAGCACCTTGTGGTCCCCGCCGCCGGCGCCGCCCTTGCGGAGGTTGCCGGAGAAGCGGCTGACGGAGGAGGAGCGGGAGTGGCGGCCGTAGGAGGGGTGCGACGGCGACTCGTTGGGGCTGTTGTAGACCGGCGTGGCCTGCATCGACGACGACTTGTAGCCGCCGTCGTGCGACTCCCGCGACGGGCTCTGCACGTAGTACCCGCCGTTGCCCGCGGCGGCGGCGCCGCCGCCGCCCCGCTTCGGCGACCGCGGCGGCGACGACGCCGGCAGGCTCGTCATGTCCGACTCCGACTTGGCGTGCATCATCTCCGCTCGCTCCCACAGTTTCTTCCCCCTGCTAGCCAACCCCAAAACCAACAGCAGCACACGATCAGAGGCAGAACAACAGCACCGGCACACGCGGTTTTGGCAGGGGTTTTCCGATCCAAACACACCACCACCACGCCAACCAGCTCAGAAATGGAAGGCCTCCGGCGATCTACACGCACCTGCGCGAAGCGGGCGAGCGAGCAGCACGAGTGGTGGCGGTGGCGCAGGGGGAGGGGCAGGGGAGGTGGAGCAGAGCACGCGCCTCCTCCTCTGGGCCTGGCTGGGCACCCGCACCGGCAGCACTAAAAGAGCCGGAGGGGGAGAGCGAGAGCGAGCAGTGCCAGTAACGCACGGAAAGGCCAGGGGCAACCTCCCTTGGGATCCGCTGCGGCCGGAGACACGGTGTGGCACGCGCGTGATCCGGTAGAGAGCGAACGCGTGGCGGTGAGGAGACGCGCTGCGGTGGCGTCCGGTGGTGGGGAGGCGGAGCAGGGGATCGGGCTAGTTGTTAGGGGAGCACGGCCGCGGGGGTGCGTGGGCCGTGGGCGACTGTAGTGTCGGCAGCGACCGGGGAGGGAATGTGTGTGTGTGTGTGGCGCAGGAATTGTGGTATTGTGCTTTCTGTATTCCACGCCTAATGTCTTGGTCCTCGTTTAGATTGAGGTGAGAAATCAGTATTTAATATTGTAGCACTTTCGTTTATATTCTTTCTATTTTAAATTGTAAGACGTTTAATTTTTTTTTGTCTTAAGTTTGACCACTCGTCTTATTCAAAAAATTTATGCAAATATAGTCAAATTTAAGTCATTCTTGAAGAATTTTTATTAATAAACCAAACCACGACGAAAGAAGTGATATTTTACATAAATTTTTGAATAAGACAAGTGGTCAAATTTGGTGTCAAAAAAGTCAAACGTCTTACAATTTTGGATGGATTGAATATTTGACAATTATTGTCCAATCATGGTCTAATTAGGCTCAAAAGATTCGTGTCACAATTTACAATCAAACTGTGTAATTAGTTTTTTTTATCTATATTTAATACTCCATGTATGTGTCTAAAAATTTGATATGATGGAGAGAGAGAGGAAAAAACTTGCCTTGTAAACAAGGCCTTGGAGCTTGAAATCAAAATCAAATGCACAAAATTAGTAAAGATTTTGTACGAATGAAGCTATGGATTGGTGCATGTTCTTGAATCTTGGTGATGTCTTTGCTGGCACATTGGATGGCTTCATTTGTGCACTTGACCTCAACGGCTCGTGTTGTTCAGTCGTACTAGGTTAGGCTCCGTTCGGCTACCATTATAAGCGGGTTTATCAGTTATGATATAATATTTTTTTTTTCAACAAATCAGCCGTACAAATTAGCACAAACGACTTATATACCAGCCGAACAGAGTGTTAGGGTACTAATGCCAGTGCGGATTGCATCTCTGTAGGAAGTCCCTCAAACTATCAAATGCCATCCGGCTAATCTGAACATCCAATTGGAAAATTTTGAAAAATCTACAAGGGCCACTTTCAGTGAATTTCCCGTCGAATCTGAACAAAATATCTATCACCTGCCATAGTTCAGAAGCTGCAGTAACACTGGCTGACGTGTACTTGCGTGAATGAATGAATTAGCAAAGGTCTGAACGGAGACGGAGGTTGTCTGTAAGAATAGCTACGCTACGCCCCGACATGTGTTTCGTTTTGCCACAAGTTTGTCTCATTTCGCAGCTTCCGTCACACGAGCATCTGAGCTGAGCTATTCGGAAGACGCACACGGAAACGTGCATGCAAGAAACCTTCCATGAAGGGTTTATTTGACCGGTATTAAAGTGGATTGAAACTGTTTTTATTATAAAAAAAATATTATAATTAATCGATAAGCCAGCTGAACATGCCCAGCTGATGAGTAGTCGTGTCCAGGAACATTTTAATAATTCGTGAGCAGTACTATAGTCGACTTACGATCCTGGCGTTTCTGGCAAGTACGACCGAACCTTTTTACACGGATAATTGGCCTGGCCCAATCAATCAGGTACGCCTACGCGACTGCTCTGTGGATGCGGACCGGACGGATGGGATTCCTTCTGGTAAAGCGAGCCCATCGGCGTGTGTCGGTCGTGTCAGCTTGTGGCTTGCCGTTGCCGATGGATGCCATCATCTTTTATTTAATAGCTTTGTCCAGCACTCCAGCTTCTTTAATCTTTATTAATCCTTCCTTCACATTTTTTTTTCTATGCGACTGCGCCTCCGCACCAGTCAAACGGAATGGAATTGTGCATCGCACAGAAAGGAGAACAACAACGACAGAGGCAAGGCGACAAGTGCAAAAGGAGGAGATTGTTTAGGCTATGGCTTCTATATTGATACTATGGCCTTGTTTAGATTCCAAGTATTTTCACTCTCTTCATCACATCAAATCTTTGGATATATGTATGGAGTATTAAATATAGATAAAAAAAATAACTAATTACATAATTTGATTGTAAATTACGAGACGAATCTTTTGAGCCTAGGTAGGCCATGATTGGATAATAATTATCAAATACAAACGAAAATACTACAGTGTCAAATACTGATTCCTAACCACGAACTAAACAAGGCCCATGTACTTGTGCCTTTGTAAATAAAAGAATGCTTGGTACCCTAGCGCCGTTCATTTGCTTATACTAACGACTAACTAATCCAGCGTACAAAGTACTACCAAGGTATATATATATATATATATTGTGATGCGCCCAATACTGGTGTTCCAGTGGGGGAACAAAGGTGTATCGCTTTATCGGACGCCTGGGTGGTTGGTTGAGAGGGGCCAAGGAACCTAACGTTCTCTGTTTCTCATCACCGACGATCCTGCAGCCTGTGCTGTGGAAGACAGGACAAACACAAAGCCTTGACAAACTCCGATCGCACCTGACTTTTGGTGGTGGTGGATTTTTTTTAAAACGATAGCAAAAGCTTTGCCGTAATTTTTATTAGACGATAGAAAAGAGAAAAAAGCGATCTACAAGTATTTACAACTATAAACCAACCATTATAGAGCTACCCTCACTGAAGAACGAAAAACAACCAAGGCATGAGAAGGGACAACAGGGAAAAAGAAAGCAAGCACTCTGAAGATCCTAAACATCATCTGCAACTGTCCTTGGTGCCATGGCGATCCTGTACCTGAATTGGGTTGAGGGCCGTGTACTGAAATGCCTCCTATTTATCTCATTCCAAATATTCCACCAAAAGTAGATGAAGATCCCATCCACTTTTCTCCTCTCATTCTTATCAAATTTGCGTCTGCATCTCCACCAGAAGCTATGTAAGGATCCTGAGGAGTTTACTGATTGTATTGTTGTTAACTGCAACCACTGTTTTAGGATCTCTCACACTTCCTTGGTGTATGAACAATCTTTGCATAAATGCACGGGTGTTTCAAGGTCATTCCCACATAGCCTGCAGTCTGTCTCATCTGTCCATCCCCGTTTGAGCAGATTGTTTGCTGTGAGAATCCTTTTATGTAGGAGAATCCACACAAAAAAGCGACAGTTAGCTTCAGCTTTGGCCTTCCATATGGTTGTGATTTTGATTTTGAAAAATCTTCCGGCAAACTGACACTACTACACAAAATCTTTTGCGCAGCGTTTGCAAATAGGTCTCGGAGGCGGGTAGGCTTTTAAACCGTCTCGGTTAATGTCTGGATTAACCGAGGCGGTCATTTTTTATTAACCGAGGCGGTTAAACCTGAAATCTATTAACCGAGGCGGGCCTTAAAATACCTCTATTTTCAGAGGCGGACCTCTTATAAGGCCCGCCTCGGTTAATAGTGGCCAAGCCCACTGGCAATCAGAAAAGCCCAAACCAGCCCAATATCACCCCTGAGTATATATACGGTGACCTAGGGTTTTCGACAACTCGCAGCCACTCCGGTTTCTCACTTCATCCCTCCCTCCCGAACCTCCATACCGACGGCATGACTCCCTCTCCGAGTCGCGACGCCCCTTCTCCCTCCCGAGTCCGCAGCTCTCCCTCCCTCCTGAGACTCCCTCCCGCCGGCGCCCTTCCCCATAGCCGGTGCCCTTCTCCCTCCCGAGCCCACCCCTCTCCCACCACCCTGAGCCTCCCTCCCGCCAGCGCTCCTCTCCCTCCCTTCTTCCCTACCACGGCGGCGCCCGTTCTCCCCTACCATGGTGGCGCGTGGACGCGGCACCACCTCCCGGCGATGGCTCCTCTCGACAGGCAGGACAGCTCCTTCCAGCAGCGCCCCTTCTTCCCTACCACAGCGGCGCGCGGACGCGGCACCACCTCTTGGCGGCGGCTCCTCTCGGCGGGCGGGACAGCTCCTTCCAGCGGCGCCCCTACCCCGACGGACTGGACGACAGCGTCTTCTCCAGGCTGATCTGCGCCCGTGGTGGCCGGATCCTCCCGTGGTGGCCGGATCTACCCGTGGTGGCGTTGTTGACGGTTATTAACATCAATCATAAACCATCAACATAACTTATATAAATGTATAAAAATGATCGCCAACATAGGTTTAGGGGTTTAAACTGACAAATTTCACGATTTTTGGTGAATTTGTGTTTTCAGCAGGGTTTATCCAGAAAACCGGCAAGGAGGACCTGTTCGTCAAAGCAAATCACGTTTATCCGCAGCGAAATCGACGTGGAAAGACTCTAGAAGGAAAACCATCGAAGCGGAGGGCAGGTGGCTGCCATGTGGGGTCGGCCGGCCCCACCTGCAGGCTGCCCAGCCCCTTGGGCCCACCTGTCAGCCCCTCCTTCAAATGTTGGTTCTCCATCGCCTCCTAGATTGCATCTACACCGTTCTTTCAAGTCGGTTTGATCCGAGAGTCCAGAATTAATGCTCTGGCCTATATATACCAGCCCCTACCCCCCTCCCTGGAGCCATCGTAAAACCCTAATTCATATTCTCCTCGTCAGGATCAGAGTCAGCTATCAAGAGAAGATTAGTCCTACATATGATCTAGTCTTATAAATAGAAATAGTGAGATAGAGA